TCTGGTAACATGGGGGTGTGGCCTAATATGCTAATGAGCTGTGTCATCAGGGGTGCTAATGAGTTCCGGCTGGGCTTTTTCTACAAAAAGAGCCCTGCATGACCTAATGTATAGCTAGTACAGGAGTGGTCAAACTGTGAATCGGGAGCCACATGCGGCTCTTTCACACATATTGTGTGGCTCCCAGAAGGGTGGCTGGGGAAGGGAAGGGGAGGCGTGCCTCCTCTCCCCGATGCCCCCCCCTTCCCCGATGTCTTCCCTTCCCCAGCCAGTTCACCTTCCTGGGTAGGCTTGAGGCAGGGGGGAGCAGGGAAAGAAAGCAACTTTAAATGCGTTCTCAAAGTCCCCCCCCACCTACAAATATCATTGGACAAATAAATATCATTGGATCAATATCGGTTTTTACCCCTTTTGTTTTTATTTTTGGCAGTCTCGTTTAATGTTAATAAACAGCAAATCTGCATATTTTCCAATAAAAATATGTGTAATATTTGTTCATGGCACACAGCTCTCAAACATCTGATGTTTATTCTATGTGGCTCTTATGTTAAGCAAGTCTGGCTGCCCCTGAGCTAGTAGAATCATAGAGTTGGGAGGGACCTCCAGGGTCATCTAGTCCAACCCCCTGGCGACGGTAGTGCAATGCGTATCGCTGTCCCCTGCAGCAGGGATCCTGTGAAGACGTGCAGATCCCCCGCCGCGGCTTGGCAGCCCTAAGAGCCCACCACCTCCTGCGGAAGCCTGTTCCACTGAGGAACTGCTCTGTCAGGAAGTTCTTTTGAAATGTGGCTTACTTTGAAAGTCCCTGGGGCGCTTGGCTATTGTAGTTCAACAGCTCTTTATCTTTTTAAAAAGAGTATTTAAAACGTCTGTGTGCCACTTTTCAGCCCAAATAAGATCCATTCAGTGGAGAGGGAAATGTGCCCTGTTCAAGCTCAGAGGCATTTGTCTAACAAATCCTTTCCATTTAAAAAACATGCTGATCCACATGTGGGGGAAAACCATCTTTATTTGCAGACCAACAAACAATTTGCCTCTGCACTCATCTCAACCCTATTGATCAAAGGGCAGAGAACAGGTTGCCAATAAGGAAGAAAAGTTCCCAGGTTTGGATATCTGTCCCCTGCCTCAATTCCGGCTGTTGGTTTTGCTATTTTTTTTAATTGCACCTTTGTTTTATTTTATTTTGTGATTCAAATGTCCACCGGCTCCAGTCACCCTCCTGGAGTAGGAGGGAAGAGAAGAAGAAGAGATTTGAAAAGTTGGCTTCTGGAGGGGGGGGGTTCACCTTGGCCGCCTCACCCCTCCCTCCCTCCTCCCCGTCACGCAAGAATCCCCAAGAAGGGTGCTCTTTGAATGCCAGTTAATGAAATCATTAATTCCACGGACTCGCTGATCATTACGCGCAAAGGCTTTTTGGTGCCCGTTAGTTCATTTTCATTGATGTACCTCCTCCCTTCCGCAAACACACAATCCATCATGTTCCAGCTGCGAAGACTCAAGGTTACTGTAAACTCACCTCAGCGGAAAGTTTACTCCGTTAAGAAAGCCGGGAGGTAACTTTTTGTTCAGCCTCTGCCGATACAGGCATGTGGGCAGTGTTCCCTCTAAGCTGAGTTAGTGTGAGCTGGCTCACAGTTTCTTAGCCTCTGGCTCACACCTTTTTGTCTTCGCTCAGGAAGGAGGGCTCCAGAGCAAACTAATTTATGCTGTAGCCAAATCGCTGGCTCACAACTTTAAATGCCAGTAGCTCACAAAGTAAAATTTTTGCTCACGAGACTCCACAGCTTAGAGGGAACATTGCATGTGGGCACGTAAAAAGTTTGCCAAACCCCAGGTGGGGCCTGGAGATCACCCAGAATTACAGTTTGGGGTAGTGGTTAAGAGCGGCGGACTCTAATCTGGAGACCTGGGTTTGATTCCCCACTCCTCCACATGAAGCCAGCTAGGTGACCTTGGGTCAGTCACATCCTCGCAGAGCTGTTCTCTCACGAGCAGTCCTCGAAAGAGCTGTCTCAGCCCCACTTACCTCACAGGGTGTCTGTTATTGGGAGAAGGAGGGAAGATGATTGTAAGCCACTCTGAGACTCTTTTGCGGGATGAATGGCAGGGTATAAAACCAGGGGTCATTTCCTGCAGGAGCGCACAGGAGCGGAGCTCCAGCAGTAATGAGCCCAGGGGGTGGGCACATGCAACAAGCCCCACCCCCTGTTCCCAGCAGCCCTCAGTCAGAGCAAGAAGCAGCCAGGTAAGCTGCAGAGCCCCCCCCCAGCCCAAAACAGTCCAGTGGCACCTTTAAGACCAAGTTTTATTCAGGTACAAGCTCTCCCTCCTCTGTGAGGACAGATCTGCACGTCCCCCGTCCCCCCCAATAGCTAGCAATCCAAAAGAGTCCAGTGGAGCCTGAGCGGTGGGTGTTGCCTTCTGACACACTTCCGGTGATGTCAGGGGTGTGTGGCGTATGCAAATAAGTTATGCTAATGAGTTAGGCTAATGAGCTCCTGCGCCTCTTTTTCTACGAAATGACCCCTGTATAAAACCAACTCTTCTTCTTCCTCCTCCTCCAGTTAGATTTGAGTCCAATAACACCTTAGAGACCAACAAGAACTTTGGGGTGTAAGCTTTCAAGGGTCAAAACATTGACTCTCGAAAACGTACACACTGAAAACCTTGTTTGTCTCTAAGATGCTGCCAGACTCGAATCTAACTGTCCTACTGAAGGCCGACATAGCTACCCTCTGAAACTCTTCTCCAGATTGTAGAGATCTGTTCCCCTCAAGGAAATGGCCACCGTGGGAGGGTGGACTCTACGGCACTGTACCCTGCCGAGGCCCCTCCCCTCCTCAAACCCCGCCCTCCCCAGGCTCCACCCCCAAACCTCCAGGCATCTCCCAACTCAGAGTTGGCATCCCTAGCTGCGCATTCAAACACTCCTCCATCAAAAGAATCATCCCCGCATGCAGATGACAAGACAGCTGCGTGTGGCCTACTGTTTTCCTTGACTTGCTACTTTTCTGTGTGCAGGGAAGGGAGGGCTGGGTGTGAACTATCCAGACTTGCAACCAATGTTACCTCAAAAGCTGTGGAGTTTTGTGAGCAAAATTTCTACTTTGTGAGCTACTTGCATTAAAGTGGTGAGCGAGTGATTCAGCTACTGCATAAATTAGTTTGTTCTGGAGCCATCCTCCCTGAGCTAAGACAAAAATGTGTGAGCCGGAGGCTAAAAAACTGTGAGCTAGCTCTCACTAACTCAGCTTAGAGGGAACACTGCTTGCAACCTTTACCCACATGTAGGCTGAGCTGGAATTGACAGGGAAAGCACTTTTTGTTTATCCCTATATCTTTCCCATCCATGTGTAGAGAAGAAAAGAGATTGGATTTATACCCCGCCATTCACTACCCAAAGGAGTTTCAGAGCGGCTGACAAACTCCTTTCCCTTCCCCTCCCCACAACAGACACCCTGTGAGGTAGGTGGGGCTGAGAGAGCTCTGACAGAAACTGCTCTTTTTCATGGACAGCTGTGCCAGAACTAACAAGCCATCCAGCAGGTGCAAGTGGAGGAGTGGGGAATCAAACCCGGTTCTCCCCGATTAGAGTCCGCGCACTTAACCACGACACCAAACTGGCTCTGGAGACATTAAGTCCAGGGTGCAAGCCAAGATGGCGCTCAAGGGGGTGAGCTGCCTCTCCTTCCAGCCTCCATGTTGCTCAACCTAAGAATGTTTTCATGGGGAAAAGAGTCACTTACTCCCTGAAAGTTTCCGTTAAAGGATGAGAGCTTGTGTGTGGTGGTAAAAGTCATACCTAGGGCTGCCAGCTCCAGGTTGAGAAAGTCCTGGGGATTTGTGGAACCTGGAGAGGGCGAGAAGGGGGACCTCGGCAGGGTGTCATACCATAGACTCCACCCTCCGAAGCAGCCATTTTATCTAGGTGAGCTGATCTCGGTTGTCTGGATATCAGTTGTAATTTGGGGAGATCTCTAGGTCAGACCACCCTCCACCCACAGTATCTGAACAGGAAAAGCAAATAATTGCCTCCTTGAGACCCCCCCCCCATGGTCCCCCCCAACTTTGATCTTCAGGGTGCCACCTATGGGCCGTTCCCACACAGAGGCCCAGGGGTCATTTCCTGCAGGAGCGCACAGGAACGGAGCTCCGGCAGTAAAGAGCCCAGGGAGCGGGAACATGCAACAAGCCCCACCCCCTGCTCCCAGCAGCCCTCAGTCAGAGCAAGAAGCAGCCAGGGAAGTTGCAGAGCTCCCCCCCCAGCCCCCACCCCCCCGGTCCAAAACAGTCCAGTTGCACCTTTAAGACCAAGTTTTATTCAGGTAAAAGCTCTTCCTCCCCTGCGAGGACAGATCTGCACGTCCCCCCCCCCCAATAGCTAGCAATCCAAAACAGTCCAGTGGGACCTTTAAGACCAAGTTTTATTCAGGTACAAGCTCTCCCTCCTCTGCGAGGACAGATCTGCATGTCTCTCCCCCCTCCCAATAGCTAGCAATCAAAAACAATCCAGTGGCGCCTGAGTGGTGGGTGTTGCCTTCTGACACACTTCCGGTGATGTCAGGGGGTGGGGTGTATGCAAATGAGTTATGCTAATGAGCTCCTGCACCTCTTTTTCTACAAAATGACCCCTGCAAAGGCCCAAACAAAACAGGATATTCTGGCATGTGTTTGGGGCAGGGTCACACCGGCCAACATGGAGGGGCCCGATCCAGCTCCAGGCCAGCCGCCTCCTCTGTCATTTGTGAGAACCCCACGGCGAAAGAAAAACAGAACGCTCGATTAAAACTACCTGGTTTATTAAGAAACCAGTCAAACCACAAGAAATCCAGTCGGTTGTAAAATGAAAAAAATTCGGCTAGTTTTCACCGGTGAGGTTTGGTTCAGTTCTGAGTGGTATCAGGAGAACAGTCTCCCTAGAAGTCGAAATCCTCGATCCCAACAGCTTTGGTTGGTAGCCTCCAACGTCCTATAGCCATAAGGACATCTCTGATCCCTCCTGTTTCACAAACAATTCTTAACAAGGGGGAAAAAAATTCAAAAGCCAAGCTACAGAGTCTTAAATCCTTTCAATCTTCTTCTTAAAAGTCATTGTTTTCTTGAGGTCCTCACGCTTTCTCTCATTGTATATTTTTAAAAAAAGATAAGACGAATTCACCGTTAACGAATCTTCGGTTGCCTCTCTCGACTGAAAAACCGGCAGCCAGTTTCGGAAAGAATTGTCACTGTCTGCAGAATGTTTCAGAAACAGCTCGAAACTGGAGTTGTATGATCCAGTTGACGCCCCAGGAAGCAAACTCTTCCAGAGAATGGCCCCCAGCAGCTTTCTCGCGCGTCCGGTCCCTCTCTGCTCTTTCGCCGGATCACGGGAATCCACCCCACCCCCAAGTCCCTCTCAAAACCACTAAGCAAGAACACAACACGAGCCGGAAGCCCGGCTTCCCGGCCAAACGGATCCTAGCTACCAATTCTAGACCACTCACAACACGGGCCTAACATCAACTCGTCACGCTAAAAGTACCCATACAGACCACATTGACTTTCCAAGCTTCGGGGGGAAGGCCGCAAGAACCAAGCTCTTCTCCTGCACCAAACTGCCTTCCCTCTCCCGGGCTGCGTCTCCCAGCAGCCCCCTGGCGCTTCCCTTTATGAACCCCAAAGACATATAATGGTACCATGTCTATAAACTCGGGTCCCCGTTCTGTGCGTTAAGAAAACCATTTCCACCCATCGCTGCTCTTCCCGGGCTCTCCCTCCCCAGACCTCCTGTCAAGAAAAGTGAGCCCCCAGGGACCCCGTCTCTACGTGGCCCCCTCGCACCCCCCCACCGTGAGTTTCAAGGCGCCCTGTTGGTGCAGGGTCTTCAGCGCTTTGAACTCCAAGGGCATGGTGTGCGGGCTGGCTTGCGACGTGTAGCCGTATTTCAAACTGTCGTAGTAGTGGTACTTGACGGGGTTTTGGTCCTGGTCCCGGGGGAAAGGCCAGAAGCCGTAGAGATGAATCCGGTTACAGAAGCGAGTCGCCAGGGTGTACATCAGCAGACCGGTGGTTGGGCGTTTAATATACACTTTGTTGGTCAGCCAATACCTGCAAAGGGACAGCAAGCACAACGTCATGGGGCATGCAGTTCTGCTGGCCCTGTGTTCCCCCACGGCGGAGGGCATCCTATATATTGTCTGTACAGGTGAGACCTTTGTAAAACAACTGTCCCCTTCAGATGCAGCTCAAGAAGTGAGACCTGTCTCACGAAAGCATCTGCTTAAGAAACGTGGCCGCTTGACTTGTCTTTCATAAGAACATAAGAGACGCCAATGTTGGATCAGGCCAAAGGCCCATCCAGTCCAACACTCTGTATCACACAGTGGCCAGAAATACCAGGTGCCACCAGGAGGTCCAGCAGTGGGGCCAGGACACTAGAAGCCCTCCCACTGGTGACCCCCCCAAGCACCAAGAATACAGAGCATCCCTTGCCCCAGACCGAGAGTCCCTATAAGAACATAAGAAAAGCCAATGTTGGATCAGGCCCGTGGCCCATCCAGTCCAACACTCTGTCACACAGTGGCCAAAAATACCAGGGACCATCAGGAGGTCCAGCAGTGGGGCCAGGACACTAGAAGCCCTCCCACTGTTGCCCCCCCCAAGCACCAAGAAGACAGAGCATCACTTGCCCCAGAGTCCCTATCTATACCTTGTGGCTAATAGCCACTGATGGACCTCTGCTCCATATGCTTATCTAATTCTTCTTGAAGCCGTCCATGCTTGTAGCCGCCACCACTTCCTGTGGCAGTGAATTCCAAGTGTTAATCACTCTTTGGGTGAAGAAGGACTTCCTCTTACCCGTTCTAACCCGACCGCTCAGCAATTTCATGGAGTGCCCACGAGTTCTTGTATTGTGAGAAAGGGAGAAAAGTACCTCTTTCTCTACCTGCTCTTTCCCATGCATAATCTTATAAACCTCAATCATGTCACCCCTCAGTCGTCGTTTCTCCAAGCTAAAGAGCCCCAAGCGCCTTAACCTTTCCTCATAGGGAAAGTGTTCCAACCCTTTTATCATTCGAGTTGCCCTTTTCTGCACTTTCTCCAAAGCTATAATATCCTTTTTAAGGTGTGGTGACCAGAATTGCACACAGTATTCCAAATGAGGTCGCACCATTGATTTATATAGGGGCATTATGATATTGGCTGATCTGTTTTCAATACACCAAGCTCTCTCGATTACGTCTTTGGAATTGCCACCCAAAACCTATGTGAGAGAAGTATTATTATCCAGAACAGGCCGTCGAGCACTGGACTGGTTTGAGCTGCTGTTTACAACTCCCCCTCCCCTTGTAACAGAAACTAGTGAGGAATAGGGTTAGAGTTAGGCTTCCCAATTACCTGGGCCCTGCAGATAATTCCTTGCCCCAGCATCAATCCCCCACCCTCAAGAAATTCAGGAGTGGGAGGGAGGAAAGGCCTCCATAGTGACACTGAAGGAATTCCCCCTGGTCTCCATAGTGATACCCAAGGAGTTTCCCCACAGAGATTAGGGAAAATTCCTAGTAGGTCACCCAGAAGTCACATCACATCCTCCTAGAGTGGCCAGGCCCCCCACAGTGGAGGTGGGAGTCCCCCTGCTGCCAGGCCCCATCCCCCACCATCGATCTGTTGGGCAGTGGGGGACTTATCAGGAGAAAGAGGAAGGCGCAAGCCACATTGCCGGTGTCACACAGGAAACGATGTCATCACGCAAGTGACATCTGGGCAATGCTCTGGAATCTGGGCAAAATCTCTATGGTAGAACCCATTTTTACCATGGCGTTTTTGCCCAAATACCAGAGTGCCACAGTGACGTTGCAGAGTGATGACATCACTTCCTGTGTGATGCCAGCAATGTAGCCTGGGCCTTCCTCTTTCTCCTGGTAAGCCACCCTCTTCATCCCCTGCCGGTTGCTAGGAGGGGCTTGGCAACACTACATCCTCCCCAAACTCCACCCTCCCGGGCACTGCCTCCCAAATGTCCCAGGATTTGCCAAGGCAGTATAGGGAAACGCATCAGATGAAGTGGGCTCTACTCTACAGAAGGTTCTTCTAGACTAAAAACCTGTTCGTCTTTAAGGTATCAAGAGTTATATTGAATCAGTGGGAGCATTCGAGGAGGTTTTCCTCCTGGTAAAGTGATGCCTGATACCTGCAGAGTCACAGGGAACTGAGCATTTCGGCAGGACCAGATCAGAGGTCAGACCAGAGCCTCAAAGATGGCAAAGGGCTCACTGTTCCAGCCCAGAACACAGAGAAGGGCAAAGACAGCACGAGAGAATCCTCAGCTTACACCTCATCCCTCTTTAAGTCTAAGCCAGTGATGGCAAACCTTTTAGAGACCGAGTGCCCAAACTGCGACCCAAAACCCACCTATTTATTGCAAAGTGCCAACATGGCAATTTAACCTGAATACTGAGGTTTTACTTTAGAAAAAACAACTCATACATTAACTTAAGATGATCCAAACAAAGTAAGGAAAGCAATCCCAAATGCTTTCATTTACTTAAAATTATTTGGCAGCAAATTCGACACTTTAATGATGGTCTAGGCTTGGCTGGGGTGATGGCACGCATGCCCACAGAGAGGGCTCTGAGTGCCACCTCTGGCACCCGTGCCATAGGTTCGCCACCATTGGTCTAAGCTGACACTGAATTCCATTAACACTATTTAATGGTGGCGGTTGAAAGGGCGGTCAACTCGCAGCTGACATATGGCAACTCCAGACGGTTCTCAGAGGTGGTTTGCCCTTGCCTGCCTCCGCGTAGCGACCGTGGACTTCCTCGATGGTCTCCCACTGGCTCATAGCTATGCTGGGGCTATTGGCTCCACCCCTTCCTTAAAGGGCCAGCCCCTCCCTTAAAGGTCCCCTGCTTCTTCCCAAAAGCATTTAAAGGGATCGTTTAAATGCTTTTGAGAAGAGGCGAGGGGTGGTACGCACCCCTCTCCCTCCCCTCCTGTAAGATCTAAAGGGCCCTCAAGCTGATCGGTGGGCCACCTGCTCCCTGCCAATCAGCTGAAGGGCCCTTCATTATGGCAAACGATGGCAGCTCCACCAGAAAAAGAAAATTGCTCCACAAGCCACAAAATCCTTCCAAGGTTGGGTTAGCCCGCTCCAACCAGGACACGGCCCCCATTTAAGGCATGGGTCCAAAGTGATAGGAGCAGACGTCGAGCAGGCAGAGAGACGATGCAGAGGCACACTCTCTCGACTGGCCAATTTGAGAGGTGCATTGGAGGACTTCTTGCCAGGGGCCTGCCTCTCTAATCATGCAACGCAGGCCCACGGGGAGGCAAAATGTCTCAGGCTGGTCTCGGAAACAGGGCATAAACTGCCTCTAGAGTGCTTTTTCCACGCTCGGGTCAACCGTGACGACGTCTGCCCGGCCTCCGAGCGTGGCATTCTGCTGTTCTGCAAGCCAGCTGGGGACCATAACAAAATCCGATTAATCCTGCAAACCGAAATAAGGTTGCATTAAGCGCACACGAGCTGCCACATTAGTGGCGCACCTACAGTGCGTGAGACTCGGGTTTTTAATTAGAAGGCGAGGCAATCTTGAGAAAGGCTGTAATTATGTTTTCTCTCTTTTTTTTCCCCCCCCCCCCCCCCCAGCAAACTGGCGACACCAATCGGCATCGCTATTAAGGGTGCGATTTGTATGGGCTCAGGAAGGCGTGAAGAGCAAACAGGCAAGCCTGTTACTCGGTAGCTCTCTGTAGAGAGTCAGGCTGGCAGCCTGGAACGTCTTCCAAAGGCAACAAAATGGCACTCGTGGAAAGAAATTTTAAGGCACTGATATAATAACCAAGGGCTTGCAAGAGATATTGTAAGGAGCAGGGAGAATACAATGAAGAGGGGGGAAAAGTATCCTGAGACTCAAATGATATGAGACAGAAGAAGAAGAAGATGAAGAAGAAGAGGAAGAGGAAGAGGAAGAAGAAAAGAAGGGGGAGGAGGAAGAAGAGGAAGAAGAGCAAGAAGAGCAAGAAGAAGAGGAAGAAGAGGAAGAGAAAGAGAAAGAAGAAGAGGAGGAAGAGGAAGAAGAAGAGAAAGAAGAGCAAGAAGAAGAGGAAGAAGAAGAAGAGGAGGAGGAGGAGATTGGATCTATATACCACCCTTCACGCAGACTCTCAGAGTGGCTTACCATCTCCTTTCCCTCCCCCTACCCACAGCAGACAACCTGTGAGGCAGGTGGGGAGAACAGCTCAGAGAGAACTGTAACTCACCCAAGGTCACACCCGCAGCTGCCTGTGGAGGCGGAGTGGGGAATCAAACCCTGTTCTCCCAGATTAGAGTCCGTGCTCTTAAGCACTACACCAGACGCTTGCCTGTCGAAACTCAGGTTTGCCTCAAGTAGGGTGGGGGAATCCAATTTTAAGACAAAAAGTGTTGTGAAGTGAGAGGGCCCCTGCTGGGGAAGGAGCGTGGCTCAGTGACAGAGCATCTGCTTGGTGTGCTGAAGGTCCCAGGTTCAATCCCTGGCATCTCCAGTTAAAAAGGACCAGGTAGTAGGTGGTAGAAAAGACCTCAGCCTGAGACCCTGGAGTGCTGCCAGTCTGAGTAGGCAATACTGACCTTGTTGGACTGAAGGTCAAATTTGGTATATGTCAGCTTCGTGTTTTCAGGGACCAGTGTTTCATTTCCTACAATAGCCAGACCCTTCAGGGAAGCCCACCAATGGGGCAAGTGGGCAGCCCGCCCATTGTCGCCCAACAAGAATGGACACTCAGAGGTACACTGCCTCTGAAGACGGAGGATCCATTTAGCCACACTGGCTAATAGTCGTTGATGGAGCTCTCCTCCTTGAATGTTATTTGAGCTCTTTAAAAAGGCATGAAAGTCAGTGAGTCTCCTGACTGGGATGGCGAGCCCAATCTTGTCAGAGCTCAGAAGCTAAACAGGTTATGGGCCCCGTTAGTACTGCCAAGGAAGCCCAGGGTTGGTACACAGAGGCAGGCAAAGGCAAACCACCTCAGTTCATCTTCCTCAAAAAACCTAGCGGGTTGTCATAAGCAGTGTTTATTTATTTATTTAATTTCATTTATACCTCGCCCTCCCCGCATGCGGGCTCAGGGCGGCTTACAATATGTAGGTGCAAAATGCACCATATACCAAAGACAAGGCACAACAGTGCGATAAAATACAATTAAAACACTTTAAAACAGTTAATACAATGGGTTATACCCGGATCCAACGCGATTGTTCCCTCTAAGCTGAGTTAGTGTGAGCTAGCTCACAGTTTTATAGCCTCTGGCTCACACATTGTTGTCTTAGCTCAGGAAGGGATGGCTCCAGAGCAAACTAATTTAGGCAGTAGCCAAATCGCTCGCTCACAACTTTCATGCCAGCAGCTCACAAAGCAGAATTTTTGCTCACAAGACTCTGCAACTTAGAGGGAACTTTGGTCATAAGTCACTTGTGACTGGATGCATTTTCCACCACCAGCTTAGTGACTGGCTGCGACAACTAGGTCTACAAGTTAAGTACCAGTTGTGTGAAGAAGTACTTTCTCTTACCTGTCCCAAATCGACCACCCACCAATTTCATTGGGTGCCGGGGAATTCTGGCATTATGAGGAAACAGTCCTCTTTC